TTGATAGAAATATATCTTGTTGAAGATATACGGACTCTATACTTATTCAAAGGCTGAATATCGGACACTTAAAGTTTCCCGGACATCAAGGAGAGAACTTAAACGTATAACAGTTGGACGGTTTTCCTAAATTAAACTTAACAAAGAAGGCGACAAGACACATTGTCAAATTTTATTTAATTTTTGGAAGCCGGACAACAATGGTATGATGGTCTTTTGCTTGCCTGAAATTATGACGGTCAAGATAGGTTTTTAAGAATATTCCTTTCCATGCTTGCATCAGTTTTGTTCATGTCCGACGACGAGTTCGGAAACGAAAAATTCGGCAAATATAAAATTTCCCCGCTTTCATCGAGATGAATGTAATGACCTACAAAAATAGCGTAAACCATCGAAGTAGCATATTAAAAAAATGCATTCAATTGAGGAAATTATTCGTAAATCGATGGAAGAAAGTTAACATGATCACCGGAAAAAACATCGCATCGTCGTCTCGTTTCCCGTCAGTCTGCAAACCTCTGGAAAGGTAGGATCGAGCGAGACAATCCGTACGACCTATTTTAGATGAACCTCTTTAAATGCATGGATTATGTCCCAGTCAATGTCGACACATGTGATGGGGATGATGAGGAAGAAAGTGTCGCATGCTAAAGCATTACACACGCAGGAACGACACGCGACACTGACAAGAATAATGCGCAATGAGCACATCATCGTCTGCCGCCAGAATCGGCATTTCTTCTTCTGTCGTATTCATGCGTTCATAACATAAACAAAACTTTTTAAACGCTGGAGGAATATTCATGATCGAATTCTTTGAACGAATCGCGAAGCTACAGATCACACGAAATGAACACGTGAGATGTCTAATAGATACTGTACTGTACTGTAAAGTTATAATACTGTACAACAGAACTCGCTGGAATACAATTGTTCATTATAACGAATTTTTTCGTTGTCCTAGCAATTTCTTCATGGGAACATTTTTATAATCATCTCATTTTTATAAACTACAGTAATTTTTAGCTGATATCTCATTATTACAAATAATTTTCGCCCTGTAATCTAAAAATATGCTGGAAGGATTACTTCATTATGTGAATAAAATTAAAAAAGTTGACTTATGCAGCCTAAATATTTTAAAACAAATTCAAGTTTTTTGAAAAGTACTCCAAATTAATACACGCATATAGCATGACGTTTTCCTTGCAATTTACAGTATTTAGGCTCATTTGAGAATTTTTCAATGACTCCTTTTCAAATAAACAATATGGCATGTCAAGAAGAATGTACCTCCTATTCAAAGAACAAATGGGTGTGACTGAATAAATGACTTTGGAAAAATGTGCTTCTTATACTGCATATTACTTTTGTACGTTTGTACAGTAATATTAAGAGACAAGAAGCAAGCAGGAAGGCTCAAATAAGATGAATTTACTTGAAAACTTTCAATATTAATTACATCAAAGGGAGCTAAAAACAATGACAATTCTTAAGTTTATATGTTTCAGAAGCAGTTTGGAATGTTTATTACCAATTTATAATTATAATTCATCCATAAATGTTTTCGAAATCATAAATCTTAATGTAACGAATTTTTCATTGGCACTATTTTTTCAGATCCCGGTTAGTTTGTTGCAATGAAATGATACGTTATTTTGATCTACGCTCTGGTTTATTAAAAATGGGATGTTCCTGACTGTGCTGCATGGAACGAAACCAATTTCATTAGAAATACAGCAGTTACAATGGCAGCTATTCATCATTTTCTGCAAGGTGGTCCAGAAAAACATACGTGACGGTATATTAAATGAAAATGTGAAGCATTACTCATTAAAGCTTGAATCTGCGGATTTTCAGAAAATATCACTGCTGGAAAGTGAGTATGATTTGTATGTTCCCGCCTTCCCCACAGTTGTCTGAAATTGCCCGTTATTGTCAAGAAAATTCATGTTACTTTTGAAAGATTTCGATTTTTTTCATCCTCGCCCCTGACGTCATGTATAGTAATGGATTATGGTCATACAGTATACAGTATGTCGTGGACCTCTTCAAAGCTTGAGTCATTTCATTTGTGACCCAGATCAAATCACTCGTGTTGTATTTTTTGTTGGTAATGCAGGTTGCCTGGGTTCACGTGGACCGGAAGATGGTGATCGCCATTCACGAGAAGGTGACGACGAGGATCCCACGCTTCGGGGTGTCGTTCGACGGTGACAAGACCACCTGGCGACTCCACATTTACAACGTGCACGAGGATGACAAGGGCAAATACATGTGCCAGCTCAACACCATCCCGATGCAGGCCCAGATCGGGATCCTCAATGTCGTTGGTAAGAAACAAATTTGAATGCAGAAAAGTCCCCGTCCTTCTCAAAGTGTCACTTTGAAAGCAGAAATCGAAATTGACTGATTTTGCTACATCAATTCGCTCATCGTCATCTCCGATCTTGGAGTTTTTTCTCTCTCTTCCTTTTCGTGTCTTTTAAAACGGATTGCAGGATAATTTAGTAATTTTTCATGAATATGAAATGCGGAAAAACATTCAGCTCATTTTCGTTTTCAATGACACAAAAACGCGTTTCGAAATTCAGAAAACGGCGAGCATATTTTAGGTCCAGCGGTGAACTTTGTAGAGCGGGATATTTGAAGAATTTTTTGAATTTATTCATGAACACTGTATTAGTTATCTTTTGCAGAATATTTCGTGTCAATGTGCTGGTACTCGACAATGTTCTAAATATAAAGTACAGTACATTGTATGCAACGGTTCTTTCGTTCAAGAAATATGCAAATTATAAATTCAATTAAGTTGGTTTTCTCTGTTTAACGATCAGAATTTATCCTTCTTACTTGACAATAAAACACCTTAAACTACAAAATCCACGTCTGATTCTTTGCCTCAGAAATAAAAAGAAAACAAACGGTTCACGCATTTCAGATGCAGTGATCTTCTTAAATTTTCCTGCAAAGTCATCTGTAACAGAGAAGTTTATTGATTGAACTTGAGCACATGCTGCAAATATCAACCATGAATCGTTCAACATATGAATCGCTTTAAAGATATATTGCATTTAGACTAATCTTAAATTTCGAAGAGTGTGTCGAACAGAGGAGAAAAAAATAAACCTGTGTTTGCGAATCTAAGGCGCATTCCGATATTCCTCAAAACATCATCATGTACTGCATAATTTAGCGCTCTCAATTTTCAAGCTAATTTTGCAAAAAATAATGCAGTAATAAATTGAATGGGAATATACGTGTGCTCGGACAAATGGGTGGTATATTCCTCTTTGTCCGTAAAGTTGCATTTTAAATCCCTTCAGAGAAGCGGGCAATGGTTTGACAAGGTTTTTTATGTTTCTCTTGCTTGTAAAAAAAAAAGATAATGGTTTATATACAGTAAAGTATGAACAATCTAATATATTGTTGAAATATTCAATACTGTGACTCAACTATGAAATAATGGTGATTTTGTTTCGTTCTCGTGCCTGGGTCATCATTGAAAACTTGCAGTCCCTCCGTGGATCGACGATCAGATGTCGTCGGCGTCGACGATCTCAGTGCCCGAGAACAGCGACGTGATGCTGCAGTGTCACGCCAGGGGCTTCCCGACACCGTCGATCGAGTGGCGACGCGAGGACGACCTGCCGATCCGTCTCAAGTCCCGCGGCGCAGGTGAGTCGCGTGACACCCGACACTTTGTGCCGCTTCCGGCCTCGCGTTCCGGCAATTTCCTCCCCTTCCTTCCTTCCTTCCTGCCTTCCTCGCCCAGCACATGTGTACAGTATAGTATAGGTAGTATGAAGGTATACTACGTACACAACAGACAGGACACCATCAGTCGGGAATTTTAGCGGAGGGTGAAGGCAGAAATGTCGCGCTTCAACGGTTTCCTGCCTTGAAACTTTTCCCTCTCGGTAACGTGACGTGACGAGACGCGACGCTACTCGACACGACCACCGCGTTGGCAACCCGCATTCAAAAAAAAAAACAACAAACAAAAGCGACATACAAACGATAAACCACGTGTGGATTCCTCTGGTCCCTGCGTCGATTTCGCGGGCATTTTGTTCCTTCCTTCCCACAGGTCCCACTTTTCAATGCCTGCTTAGTTCATTTGCTTATTTCATAATAGAGGCAGTTCGTTTGCGCCAGGTAAGGGACATGGAAGATATAATTTAAAAATTAATCAATTCAAAGGAGCGAATCAGCCATGTATTTAGGGTTTGGGGACTTTGGGCACACATTTCTTGCAAGGAATTCTTTAAAAATATACAAAAAGGTTACATTTGTAAGTATCGATGCTTGAAAATAGATACAGCACTGCACAATGAAACGCAGATGTGAATACAAGACTTTTTGGTCTGTTCTAATTATGAAACAATATCCCAGTTGATCTTATTTTTGTAGATGTCTCACGAGCAACTGCATAGACTGAGGAAATTTTTAGTTGTCGGGTAAGGTCGAAAACATTAGATTGCAGTCCCTTCCAGAAATAATTATGACTAGGTTAGTCGGCGTAATATTATTCATGTGCCTTTGCGGGGCGGTATATATTTTTTTCTTACAAGATAGAAAGTGACTGCGAATATTCAAAATAGAGTATAGTTCATTTTGCTTGCAAATTTGATGCTTTTTTCAGTGAAGTGGTAATATTACCGCAGGGCATACCAACAGCAAAAGTATGAAAGGTCTCAAAAAATTACCAAAGCTTCAAGTCCAAACTTCAGCTCTATTGGAAAACTTTTTTATGCCCATGATGCCTACAGCTGAATTGACATGACTGTCAGATTGTAGATCAACAAAGAAAGTTAAGAAATTTGTAAAGGAAATCAAGTACAGTACTGTAATCAGCTGTTAGGCGGCCAGGAACCTCTTGAAGAGGGCTCTGGAAACCTTTAGTTCAATCTCTCAACAAATAAGTGCAGATCAGGACAAACACAGCACATTGTAAAAGAACAATCTCAGTGAATAATCTCCGAACACACAAACACGTCAATTGACAAAGGTTCAGTTCCCAAGATCCTACTCTTGCAAAAGTCAGACTCAGAATGCGCAAAAAAACTTCCTCTTTTGCTCAAACTTTGACATGGTTCTTAGCCTTCCTCTTCACAGCTGTTTTGCTTGAAACTTGGCAAACCAGTGGCGAGGTGGGATCACCCACCTATGGCACACAGCGGCACACGTTCAATTTGGGCCCTATGGGCAATTGATTCTTTGATAGCCTGGTGCCATCTGTTGGCAACCCAGCAATGAGCACTATAGTTGAAAAAATGTACACGTGAAAGAAATTGTCACTTAATTTCACATGCTCATATTTCTAACTCTCCATCACTTACTCTGGAACTGTTACTGCGAGTGCTTCCATTAGATGTGCATCCGTGACTCTAAGAGGCACTTGATCGTAAAAGAGACCTGCATTCCAAGATTGCCGGAATTTTCCTCATTATTCCGATTTTTAATTATACAGCTGAGAGTATTTTCATCGTGTTAATTTTTAAAGCGACATGTCAGATAATCAAGGTTCGGCTGGCCAATAAAACACTTCAAACTTTGTATACCTATTTTAAATTAATCCGAAGTTCAGGAATATCGCTGAAATTATCTTCATTCGTGGTGTGAGTTTTCAAAATCCAAACAGAAAATTTTGTAGCATTAAAAAAATGAATGATTCGCATTTTTTTTCCTTAACAAGTGGCAGTTCAATTTGGTCTGAAGGTGACTCTGATTTAAAAGATGACTCTGCCCTCTGACCTTGTTTACTTGATTAGATCTTCTGTCTCCCATATGACGAGTCGTTAGTGAACAATGTCCACTTTATGCTGGTTTGAGGACATTACAGTGAGGCTTCGTCTATTCCACCTCATTTTCCTCCGTACTGCAAACGGCTTTCTCGAGTACGAGTATTGTATACGGCTCCAGACATTTGCTAAACGACGCTATTGTTTCTCACACTGGCATCAAGTAAATATGAGACCATTTCAAGGAACATTTTATATACTGTATTGTTACAGCTAGTCATGGGAACATTTGATGAAAATCATCAACGGCAGGAAAGAACCGATTCAGGCTTGCATGAGGCTCTAAAATATCAAATGCTCGTTCTTGATGATTTTTTTTGCACTTGAAACATGCTGCATAAGAAATAATTCAATATTTTCCTACATTATTTAGTTGTTTCTCCGGAATTATTTCGGTTTTTTTTTTTTTTACTTTTCGAGGTACGCAGTATTTCGTAATACAGTATTTCATCGATAATTCAGTAAATTTAGATACGCATTTTGAATGAAGTGTCTCGTGTACACATCGAAGCAAAGTGGTTGTTTGAAACAAAATGCCTAATAAAGAATGCATTGAAAAGAACGTTATTCGCAGAATCAATTTTTGAAGATTTGCGGTATCAGATGCGATTCATTTCAAAAGCAACATAAGAACTCCCTCGAAAATTTTCCAATAAATTTATTTTTTAAACATAAAATGACAATGTCAATCTAGAGTTTCGTTATTTATTACTCTAATTCATTCCTGGAATAAAGCGATTAATCCAGAAACTTATGTACTCAAAATCCGATCTGTGCAACTTTTGCAACTAAGAAAATTTTCCTTTGCCAAGGGAAACACTTGAAAACTAAATTGTTTTCTACTTTTACTCGATGCGTGATGGGAGGCTAACTGGATTGGATTTTTTTATGACTCTTTGGACGGCCGAAAATTAAACCGATAAAATTGATCTGGTTATTTCATTGCGATAATTCCTGGTTATTAAAGTTTCAAAATATTTATTCATATTTCGACACCGAATCGATCATCTTACATTTGTGACCAGATACGAACAAGTTTGGAAACTGGAACTCATGTAAATGCGAGACATGCAGAATATTTTTTGTACAGTAAAGAAATTTCCAGGAATGTCTCGCTCATCAGACTTAAAGAACAAGCGAGCGAATGGAACGGATTTCATCGTAATTGATCAACATAATTTAAAAAAATAAAAGAATTAATTGCATGAACATCACCGACGAATTGGTATCAAAAAGGTTTATGTTTATTTTGATTAATTGTAATTATCTCACATCGAGAAATTGCACGAAGAAAGTTGTTTTCTGTCAGCAAAAAAAAGTGCGATTTATCGTGGGACCACAGCTTCGTTTGCCTTCCACACGCCAAACTTTGCCTCCTTTCAACCCCCAAAAAAAAACTTCGCATTTTCCTTTGTTTGCTTACAGGAGCTTATGTCAAACCTGGGCTTGTACCTGTTTATTACTCCATAATCTCACAAAAGAAAAACCCGCTCATCAGTCAGTTTTTCTTGGCTTTGTCGGCGGAATCCCCGGCTGGTCCTAATAAGCCGCAAATCTCCGCTAAGGACGCCAACAAGCGTCGAAGGCAGAAGAAAAACGACGGATAAAAACATTTAGAAAGAACAGACTGGCACAGAAAAAAAAAGCCGAGAGGAAATTCCCGCCGTGCTTGGGATAATCGGTCTCTTTCAGGAAGGGGCTTTACGAGGAACGACTAATTAGCAAGCGTCAGTTATTGGTCAATATCCTGAAGCGATGATAAATTTGGTCGTCATACTGCTCCAGTATAAAAAAAAAAAAGATGTTCACCGAAGAATGTAAATTTTCGTTGGGGGACTTTGATGCGGGTAATTATTCCGTCTTTTGGCGAATTCCTCAAGAAATTCTTCGCCTGATGCGAGTAGTTTTCTTTCACTTGACCTATAATAAAGAATTACTTTAATTTTCTCCTACTTCCGGCGAATGCGTAATGAAGTATCGAGAGAATTTTCGGATAACCGGAAATGAAGTTGAACCAACCTGAGGAATGGGATCTATTTCATCTCACAAACTTTTTATTGCTTGTTGTACAAAAACTTGGATAGGTGTATAATTTAATTTTAAAATATCTAATACAATATCATTTCTTTACTTCTGCTTTGATTCTACTCATCGAGGCTGACATTTAGTGAAGTTGGAGAGCAGAAATGGATCCTCTTATATTTGTGAGAAACAGGGTTTTAAAATTCGAAAAACCAACTTTCATTATTTAAAATTTTGCAAGATTTCTGCCTAACATTTACGACAAATTCATCAATAAATTCAATAAGGAAAACCACAACTAAATCGAATAAATTTAATTTTGGCAATTTCGTCATCGACGAATGTGATGATTGCTTAAATATTAGGATAACTGTGATGAAGTCATGGCTGCTTAATGACTGCTTCAAGTCATGGCATGACCAATGGAAATTTGTCTTGGCTCCAGTCATGGCTGCAAGTTGAAATAATTTTTGGAGAATGGAAACAATTCTTCGGAAATATTCCAAATTTCCATTCAGTTTTTGGTGATATTGATTCCAATGCTTGGGTTCCGAATATAATCCCTGGCAAAGCTCGATATCCACCAAGGTTCTAATTGACGACATCATGAAACAATTCATTGCAAGCGATCAAGGCATTGAAACTAAAAACACAATCTTATTTATTCTTACAAAAAAATTTTTACGCCAAAATTTTCAGATTAGCAGACTTTTTCTCAAGCCCAGGCAGAAAGCCCATATAGAAGGCATGCTAAAAATATCTTGCCATAACAAATTGCTTCATCATTCCAGTATGACAACATTTTTTGAGGAATGCTTAGAGTCTCTAGGTAAAAATGTATTGACTAAGGCAGGCACAGTCGGAAATTTCTGATATCAAATGATATAGACTGATGGTTCTCAATTGTAGCATGTGGATGAAAGCTGTAATAAATGACAAAACTCTTCCAGGGGGTTCGACATATTTTCCTCCCGGAATGAAAAGAATTACGAGATTTGTGCAGATGAGCTAATGCATGATTGAAGCTTCAACAAAGGTCAACCATTTTCTAAAAAAATAACGAAACATCAGAGAATGCCAGAAAATTAAGATTTAACTCATTACTGTATTTGCAGATTTGATGCAGAAAGTATTTACTGTCATTTGTTTTTGAAATTCTCAATCTATAACAAATCAGTCAGTGTAAAAAACTTTATCTGAGGTCCCCAAAAGTTTGTTCTTACATATGATATTTTACTGTATTATATAGCAAAGACGGCTGGTGAGGTAATGCAAATAAGAACTTCAGAATGATTGCTATAAGCTCCATTGATTTCTTTTTTCTTTGCTTTTGTGTTTGCACGGGGAAACTCCTTGAAATTGTTTTTATTATTGTTTCCACGTACATGTATAGCAACCATCCAATAATTAATTATTTATGAAACGGAATTTTCCGGTCAACCGTTTCTTTCGCAAAGATTAATCGATGCATGAATTTGACAAAAGCGAGAATACCCCGAGGTTTCCTTCGACCCCGAATAAATGGACAGACGGAAGCGAAACAAAATCGCCGTCACACGCGCTCGGGCAGAAACACGCGATGCCGACGCGGAAGAAACCGTCGCATTGTTCCTTGTCGTCTTCATCTTCCTCCTCCTCCTCTTGCTCTTCGGCCTTTTGTTTTCCTCCTGGCTCTCAGCTTTCTGTCGATCGTCTGCAGTTCCGATGGAAAACCCCCGAAAATATGTTTAAAAAAAAGAAATAAAAATGCCCCTCCCCCCATCCTTAGCATGTTGCTTTTGAACCCCCGAAAGACTTTCGGGGGAGAAGAAAAGATGCGGAAGGACGCCTGATGCACGGGAACCTGCGGAGCGGTTAGTTCGATAATGGCCTTCTCCGCGAATTTGTCTCCATCTTTTCTTCCATCGATGCATCTTCCTTGAATGTCGTGTTCATTAAATAGTTATATTCTTCATAATAACAATGACAGTAGGAGTTCTTCGTGCATTATTAAAATATCGAAATCAGCGAAATGCGGAATCTCAAACCGGAGATTTGTCAGGGGTGCGGGAGAACAGGTCCCGAGGACAGGGTAGAAAATGGACCCACCCACGACCGAAAGTCCCCCAGAGGAAGTGGAACCAACAGGTGAGGGAGAGGTGCTGATGGTCAGTTGGCAGCTTGGCACACACATTTAGATCCACATGCACAGGAAAATCCTCGCAATTATAGAAATAAGTTGAAAATTATCAAGCTCAAATTCATTGGACCAGTCAAAAATTTAGAATTAGCGAGATTTAAAGTTAGGAAAACATTTTTGTTGGGGATGCGAAAGAAGAATCACAGGAAATTGTGAATAGGGACGTTTTGGGCCTTAAGTGACTTTCTAAATTGGTTGAAAGCATGCTGAACTTGGAGGCAAGGATTCATTTGCACAATTAGTTCTTCACTTCTTTTCAAGACATATCAATTAAAAATTTTTGTTTTTACTTTCTTGTGTCCACGAAATAATAGCCAGAAGTCCTCCAGAAACTTAAATAGGTACGAAGATCTGAGTAGGGAAGCCTTAGAGTTAAGTAGGTTTTTATTGCATTATTTTGAAAGTTGAGGACGAGAGAAAAATTTGTCTGCATGAAGGTGATACAGTATTTGAATTGGGAGGTTTGAGTTATCAAGGTTCAACTGTATTGTATTATCTGGAAATATGTATTGGTAAGAATATTGAACTCTTGCTATAGTGCTGTTTTTAAAACTCTTAAATTGACTCATATAATCTTTAAAAAAATCAGTCATCACCAGTAACCAATGGTACTTTTGACTTCTGTGAAGAAGCTGATGCAGTTGAACCTGGAAAATTCAAACCTATACTGCTGGAGTCAAATATTGTACCTCCTTAAGTTAAGATTGTTTTCAAGTTCCCATCAGGAACAGTGCATTAACATCTTTTAAAGTCTAAGGCTTTTTATGTAAAACCTCCCTGGCTCAAATTTTCTGAGTTATTTTGGCATATATTATTTTCTTGGCACAGAAAAGAGAAAAGCAGTACATAGTAACTTCATGTGTTTTGCTAAGAAGTGAGAAACTCAAATGGGCAAATAAACCTCTGTGCCTCCAAATTCAGCATCCTGTCTCCTCATTCAAGAAACCATTCAAGGCACAAAATATCACCAATTACAATTTCCTGCAACTCTTCTATGTTTCCCTCTACAAAAATGCTCCTTTCCCAAACTCAAAACCTCCCAAAGTCAACTTTTTTGCTGGTCCCTTGAAATTCGACTTCGAGAGCTTCAACTCTCCCATCAGATATTTAATACAACTGGCCATTATTATTCCATCACCCATTGGGTCCACAGGACCACGGGGGCTTTTTGTCGCGGATCCATTCACTACTTCGTCTCCGGCAGCCGGGGCCGTTTTCAATGGGGACCTATTCTTGCAGGGCACTTATGTACCACAATGCGAAATTCACGCGCAGTATATTCATCAGGTTCGGAATCCAACAAGCTAATAAATATTCGCTCCTAAATGGGCCATAATGTGAAATAAACACAAAAGTTGATAGACTTGGATAAATAAGCCCATCAGCAGAGGATCCCTGAGTACACTCAGGAAAAAGGGAAAGTAGCAGACGTATTATTGATTGTGCATGTGCATCGCAGGAAACTGTTTTTCATCCCTGGATGCTGGGTGAGATGTTTGTTCACTGCATCTATTTGTGGCACTTGAATGGCAGCAAATGCATCTGTCGTCAATTTCCGCCAGATAGGGAGAGAGAGGGAGAGGAAAGAGGGAACTGCTTAATCGCTTTTTGCTGTTCCACGTGATTTGCTCCCCGGAGATCTTGATGGCAAAGCCACGCAAATAACATTTCCATTAATTTCTCATGGCCAGGGTCAACAGGCGCGAACCGGGGTTAAAGCCTGAACCTCAGCTTCTAATTCTTATTCAAGAAGGCTTTGCAACCCACGATTTTTTATTTATTTATTCCGGCATTGTCCCAAATTTTCTTCTCGGAAATCAGTGCACGAAATCAAATGAAACTGTCCACGAAGATTACATTTAGGAAAACATGGAAAATAATTCGTCGTGAAAACTGGGGTTAAGGATGGTTATTTATGATAAAGAGGAATACAGTACCAACATATTTTCAATGCAAAATTTATCATTGAATTTCGTCTTTTCGAAAGTGTGTGCATTAAAGTTCAGAAGGAAAAATCCTTACAGCAGGAAGGAGCGCAACGACAGTGAATGTTTTTCTTTTAAAAGGTGAAAAAACTTCGTACAGATGAGTGTTATTTAGCTTAGTTCAGGAAGACTTGGAAAAAATTATATCGTGGCAGGATTCACAACAGACAATATGCAGAGCATTCCTTGTTTTCTCATTGAGGAGCAATTTCCGCTAAAATTGCATTTACGCTTTCTTCGCATCATGTTCTCAACTTGAACGACTGAAGAAAACATCGAACCACTAATAAAAATCTGGATAAAATGTTGCATCAAATTTTTTCATGACCATCTGTAAAAACATCTTCGAAAAAATTTTTCTAATACATTTCTTCAAAAAAGTGTCGATTACAGGTTGAATAAATTGCATTTCAGGCGGGTTCTGCTCATATAAGCGATAAAATGCGCTTTATGGAAATAAAATAAAATGTTTAATTTGTTCTTCACATTCGTATGCTCGTTTTGGAACGAATTCAATTATTTCCAGGGGAAGTTCATATGATTTGTAGAAAGAACAAATCTTACTAAGAACTTGTAGCACTAGCCCGAATTATGCTCCTTTTACAAGATACCATGCTGTACTTGAATTTAACATTTCGTCTCAACTCCCGCATGTAATCATTTCAGCGTGTACTGTACTGATGTGCATATGCATCCCCCTTTAAAATTCAAAGCCAAAACAATGCCTCTTGCAGTTTGACTTTCCCGCGTGGATCGGGGTGTGTATATTGCATAAAGCTACAGTCGACATCCCCCCGTCGCGTCGAACTAAAAGGAGGCCGTCTCATTCCTCCGTCGTCGACGCATACATCCATCCATCCGTCCGTCCGTCCGTCGACTCCGTCCGTCCGTCCATCCCGCCGTCCCGCAAATTGCTGCAGTCCCCGACAGCACTGTGAAGAACAAGAAGAAGAAGAAGCCATCAAGAGCAATGCGCAGATTTCCGTGCGAAATTCGAGCATGAATCTTGATGAGCGCCGGGCAGGGCTTTCAGCGTCTCCTCATCCTCGCTGATGCTGCTCGTCGTCGTCGCCAGCAGCAGCATTTCCTGGCACAACCCGCGTCTCGAATCCGCGACGTAATGAAGCGCCGACGTGTGTCGAGAGAAAAGCTCTATCTGGAAAATCTGGAACAATGAATCTGGGATGCGAAGTGCGCGCGTACGTTCTTCGTTCCCCGGCTGTAAAAACTTTTCTTTCTTCTCCCCCTCCCATCCTCTCCAGTATTTTTATTTTTTTATTTTTAGCAGAGCTCATATATATATATACCGTAATCTATGTATGTGGGGGTTGCATATATAAAAAAAAGATCCCTTCCCTCTTTTGTTCGCGGAAAATGGACGCGGTCATCACTGACGACGACGACGACGACGATGTCGACTGTACCACTCGACAGCGAATCCCTGATAATAAATCTGTATCTCGACCGACCAGCTGTCCGTCTTGGAAATTCCTCGGGACCGAATCTTTTGATTGCTCAACCCGCGAGGAGTCTCGCATTACCGGAAATGAACGCAGCAAAGTTTTCGTTCGACTAATACTTTTATTGCATTAGTTAGTAATGGGGTCATCCCAATGAAGAAAAGGAAAAATAAACTTGTAACTTTTTGATGAACCAGCGAAAACAGAAAGTTTTCCGAAGAAAAAAAAAAACGGCAGCACGAAACCCCGCCACGCATCAAACCTGATTGATTCTCACGTCTTAATTGAACGCTCAACATGTTTTTGCTCGAATGTGCAGGATTCATTATGAGTATCTCCGCTATTTTCTTTGCCTCAAAATTTCAAATATAGTAATTATGCTTCCAAAAATCACTGTATTTACTCGAATAGCACGCGCAACTTTTCCCCCCAATAAATTGGGGAAAAAAGCGAGGTGTGGGCCATTAGTAAGATATTCAGTGAAATTTCAAGTGACATATTTTTGAAAGTTTAAAAGTTCTCTCTCCACTCGAAACATTATTTCAGAGCTCTTTAATTTAATATTATTGTACTGTACTTCTCTTTTAATAAAACTTAGTAATTGAATTACATTTTCAAGTAGGCTTCATCTCCGATTTGCCCACCGGTTTTACAAAAGTTAATTTTTAGAACTGAAAACGTGAAGCACAGTCTTCGTCTTATTACGGGGGGGGGGGGGGTAAAATTTTTTCCACAATTTTAGCTGAAAATCGAAGGTACATGTCTTACTCGCGGGCGCATGGTAATCGAGTATACGCATTTTTCTGCATTATTAACGAAATGGGTTACAAAGAATCCTTGAGGCAGCCGGGTTATTTCCTCACTTAAATCATGATCCTTTCTCTTGCTTCCTTGCATTACAATTGTCGCGAATATTTTGTGCAGTAATTACATTTCGAAGGATTATATTCAGGAGATCGTAAAAATTCATATTTTTTTCGCCTGATGAACATGAAATGTTTATAGCGTAAATGGAGTATGTATTCTTCAGCCCATTTCTGTAAGAAATTAATTTTATTTTGACTCGCACCTGTTTTTTTCTTCTGAAGGTTAAGAAGCATAAACTCGTCAAGTTCTCGATGGTATATTATATTCAAGTTAAAGCGGTACTCGTCATCTATTTCAAGCACGACTCAGTCCAAGAATTTGTGGAAAATCTTGAAAATTCCTCTTTCTGAAAAATCCATGATTCGGTTTCTCTTTTCATGCCCGATTGTGAAGCTATTGTTCACCGTTGCTTTTTCATTTTCTACGTTTTCCGCAGTCCCGAAAGTGGATGGTTCCAAGCTGCACCTGAAAGGAGTCACCAGGAAATCGATGGCACCCTACTTGTGCATAGCCAACAACGGATACCCACCCATCGTCTCGAAAAGGATCACTCTTGATGTAGAATGTGAGTTTTTCTTTTCCTTTGAAATTTTAAATTTTCGCAATATTCTTTAGATTCCTGTGAAAACATAGACCGAAAAATTTTAGATTAGTCGGAAATGCAGGAGTAGAGGGTAACGGTTGTAATGTATACAAGGTAAAGTAACATGTCATGTCAAAAATTATACCGATGAAATCAACTTCATCTCGAGAGAGAAATAACGTACTGTACCAATAAGTTTCCCCGAAATGAAATGGCATAGCCATTGGATGAACCTTTGCACTTCTTCAGGTTCTGTCGAAAATAAAATATGAGCCCAACTAAAAAGATGATTCCTGATGCCTTTGTTTCAATGCAAACAAAATAGCTGTTGTATACAATTCATCCCTCTCTAAATACTCCAGTTATCTACTGAATTTTCATCCCATTTTCCTGCTGTTATCTCAGCCTAGTAAATTTCTTCAAAACACATTCCGAACGTCTAGAAAATTGAAAGAAAATGCTTATCATATTGCAAGAGCTTTGTTCATTTCTTCTGAAAATAAGACTGGCTTTGACGATGACCTTTATAGCACATTTTCACCAAAAAGTTCACGCAACCGTCATACTTTCACAAAAGAAATACGAAAGGCATTTTTCTCGTTCTTCAGTCAATTAGTCAGTTTTTGAATGCCTGCTCATATTCAATAGCTGAAGGAAACTGCGGATAATTTTTGCTGAGATACTGTAGTACATTCGAGCTAGAATCTAGTGTCTTTAACTTCTGAACGATTAACGATGCCAGATTATTTTTGATCTCCAATCCGGGAGTTCAATTCAACGCCGTACTATTCAAAATTAAAATATTGTATATTGGATGACATCGGATTAATTTTGTCAGTGGCTTATATGTTAGTGTTTCCCAACCTTATTTGTTTACAGACAAGGAAATTTTCATGAAATTTCTGCCGACTGGCAAATTAAATAAAAAAGTTTGGTGGACAAGCAAAGTTTCGTGAACTACAGTATTTGCAGACTCAAAAAACTTTTGGTTCAAAGACTTTATGGAAGCTCTGTAAAAATGTCTGCTTCTTTGCAAAAATTAAGTTGAAAGCCAATGAAACAGCTATGGTGGAACTTCAAAAGAATTATAAATTTGGGCTTGAAGAAATGTTTCTCAGAATGAAAAATTAAAGTAATTTGTGACGAATGTCATTTTCGTACACCTGGAATCTCGTCCCTGTGCGAAATTCTGCAAAACCGATTGTGGTGAGCTTTTCTCACATAGAGAAAACAAATGTCATGTGAAAAAAATGTCATAAGCATGATGGAAAAAAAAACAAAATTATATTTTCATCAGATAATTTCAACATTTTCTTCTTAAAATTTCAGATAAAAATTACAGACTTCATTGCCACTTTTGAGAAATTTATTAGGCTGAAGAAAATTTCCCATGGACCAGCAGAAAAACTTCTGTGGACTGGTGCCAGTCTTTGGACCACGGGTTGGAGAGCACTGTCTAATATGCTGCAAAACGTCATTTTGCATTGAACAAGTGATTAAGATGAAGTCATATTTTTTTGTTTTGAAGAATATCAGGTACCTATACTGTATTCTGCAGTTGTGTAATTGAACAAACGACGATTATCTCGTCACCTTCCTGGCATGAAACCTGTTAAAGTCTCCCACTCGGTCTGCATTTTCTGCACCTCTTGTGCAGCATGGAAAGTGGTCTAATCTGCAATGGTTCCCTCAGTCAGTGTCTTGCCCGAAACTCGTGAAGCGGTTTGCTTGCTCCCGAGTGAGTATTGACCTGATTGTAGGCCTCTCCTATGCTTGAAACCCGCTGTCATGCAGTCGCTGCAAGAATTCAAAATAAAATAAAGGGAAAAAATGATGAAAAAAAGAATAGAGTCCAGAAAAACGTGAACGAAGGTTGGGATTTCACAAGTGACTCTCAGTCCCTGCGTGGAAATCAGAACAGGTGAGCTCCGGGAAAGTCATGAATACCAAAACGAGCGTCGTGAAGTATGCAACGAGACGCAATGATCCATCGGCTCTCATGAATCGATATACTGTATACACGAGGAGCATGGAAAAAAAAAGAGAAACACTAGCACAAGAAGAAGAACTGAAGGAGATATTCAAACGAGTGTCGCTTGACGATCGATGGCACCTTTTACGTTTTGAATGTTTCTAGGCTCGGGAATTTACGGTGAAAATTACATAATATTTTAAAAAACCTTCAGCTCGGAAAAGAACCAGCAATTTAACGACAAATATTTAACACGCTTCAAACTTGCAAAACCGGTAATTTTTCTAATACTCGCATAAGTTCACCAACAATAACATCCAACGAAGAAACCGAGGAAGCCTTGAAAAAAAGGCAATGGTTTTTCGTTTGTTTTGCCTGTCCCGTGTTTTTAATTTTGTTGAAAGATTCAGCTTTAAAAATTTTTTTTGTACAAATAAGTAGTACTGCACACTCTTATTTGAATATTTCGTGACGACTATTCCACTGCAGACATTGATGTTCACACGGTGTCATTGTTTACCACCCCCCTCTGCATTTGTGGGTCATGTGATGAGCTAGTTGGAACAAGTACTTATGGTAAGTTTAATATTTTATGCAGTTAGTTGATTTTCCAGACTATAGACCATCTTTCTGAAAAAATTCTCCGATTTTCTCGTCTACTGAAGTGATCCAAAATGTAACGGCTGCGGCTGACTGACATAGTCAAAAAGGAGGTGCCCGAGGAAATGCAGAAATAAAAGAAAACCTGTTTGCAAATGAACAGTGGAAGTTTCAATTTTGATTCCAGCGTGTTGTTTAGGATTCTTTCACAGAAAGCTGAGCACCAAAATAATTTCTTTGAAAATGTTGACCAAACAATTGAACCAGGTCTTCCGATGAGAGCCGCTGTCGAAAATATTTTTTCGCGAAGTTACATAAAATGCGTTAAATTGACTATAATCAAGAGCGAATGCACTTTGAAATTTGAAACTCAATCTTAATTGCAGCTTCGCTTTTTCTGACGCAGTGCAATGAGGGTAGTCGAAACATTCAGCGACAAACAGTGTCATCATTCCAATAACAATAATCAATCTCTCCTGATGACTTCTTGAATGAAATCGAACTTTATTCCTTCGTCAGATATTATGCCAGTACCCTAAAATAAATGTAGTAGAATTTGTAAGCAGCAGTAAAACGCCCAGAGAGTGATTTTCTTTTGAAAATATTCATGGCAGTTATTTTCCACCTGCATTCTCGGCAAGTGTGCATGCATGCATTAACTTCTACATTCTACCACGTTCCCAGCACGGATTTTCGCATGTAATAAATTCATTGGCCCGGGAACCACGTACAATTATTGATGTCTGAAAGTCGAGCTGTTTCTTTTTCATACCATTTTTTGAATTTGACATCCTTGTTTTATTTTTTTTGTCTCCCTTGCTGACATGAAGTTGCTCCCACTGTCGCTGCGTCGGAGAGTCTCGTCAGCGGTCCTCTGGGATTTTCTGTGGAGTTGCATTGCGTTGCCGAGGCTTACCCGAAAGCCATGTATTACTGGACGAAAAACGGTTCCATGGTTTACGACCATTCGAAGTAAGTGTGATTGATCGCAAATCATGATTTATTTCAATGGCATGTTGACGAGCCAAAAAAAAGCAGATCGATAGTATGTCTGTTTAATATCCAGAGACAAGAGTTTTAGTTTTTCTTCGAAGGAATCACTTTCTCAATTTTCTACTCCTCTTCGACTTTGAATTCTCACTGCTTACCTTTAGCCAATTGTTCATTGAAATCCTCAAAATCCCTTTTGATGATATTTGTTTATTTGAAAATGCAGTAAAAAAAATTTATAACTATTCACCTGCATCGTATGTGCGATATATAATAAGACATGTCCGTTTATATGTACAGTATTTTCAATCCGTGGGTGTTTCTAAGATTATGTTGTATTGTATCCTACAGTTGATTCATCACATTCATTATGATTCACTGCATCAAGTGTGTGTTTGACTTCTGCAGAGTTACGTAAGATTGCGTCAGGTTGTCAATAAACGTAGCTTAACCACGTTCAGGTTGTTTTCATTCATTGTACTGTATTGTGCTCTTGGCGACACCTTCCTGAAATTTAAGAAACCTAATGATTCCCTGAAAAGAATGTAAAAATTTAGGGAAGGAACAAAATCCAGATTGTTGGATACTCGTTGGTTAAATTCAGTCTGAAGCTTTGTTTATGGTCGTTTAAAAATAAATTCATACCAGCAAGTTTATATCTGTCAGAGGAAAATCCCCTAATCTAAACAATTCTTTTATTCGAGAAATTTTTCCAGGATTGAGAAACGGCTTGAACCAGTTTAAATTGCTCAAGTTTAAATCGGTGTAATTCTCCGAAGAATTTATAAGAGTCGAAACTTAATTTTTTTCGCGTTTTCTATGTTTTCTAAGAAACATCCCTACAGCTATTCATGAAAATATGGTTGCTATGAAGAGGGCAGTACGTCCATGCTACTCTTTTAAGTTCTCATAGGCTTGGATGTCCCGTGAGAAAAATTTACTCACCCTGATGATGATATAAAACTCATCTTAAAACCACAGTTTTAAAGTTTTCGTGACATTCTCCGGGTTTGACTTTATGTTCCACATTCCAAAACAGCGCTAGAATTTATCCCGATTTCCTCACAATTTTAGATCTCTGTTCAATTCCATAACGAGAATATAATATCAGAGAAATATATTCTACAATTGTGTGTCCGTACGTGAAATTCCTGAGAGATTCCATTTACATTTGCTCTTTATTATCACTGGGTTCGGGCTTCACAGCTAGGATACCGCAAATTTTTGTGCCTCAGATGCGGTTTCTCTATAAAAAAAAATTCCTTCTGTTGGTTCGGCAATCAAATGAAATACTCTCTTGAGAAATCAGCGAAACGATTTCCTCTTTGTGACCAGATATGACCAGACAAACAAGGCCAGATATCCGTACGAAACCGAGATGACCTTACGGATAAAAAACTTGACTCACGACGACTTCGATGTTTACGGCTGCGTCGCCAAAAACTCGCTGGGCGAGGACAGCGGAACCATTCGACTTCTCCGTGAGTTCTCTTTCCAAACGAGCTCGAATTTTCATTCAAAAAAGCAAACCTAGCGAAAAAAAGAAACATTTTTAATTTTTCTCGGTTGTTGTTTTTTTCTTGCAGAGTACGGTGGCAGGCAGAATAAGGAAAGCTGGTTCTCATCGCCAAGCAAATCTGCGGCTTCGGAAATCCAAACCGGGGCCGCGTCTTCCGCTCATCAACCCGTCACTGTTACCATCAGTGAGTTTCATCCTTTGACTCTGCACTACTACGTTTATATACTGACCTGGCTGCTGAAGCTCGTTTTCAAAAGACACACATGTCTGTAGGGTTGAATATTCATAGTGTGGGGCTATTCCCCGCTGGAGGGTTGCCTTGGCTCGCGTGAATGAGCAGAAGCCTGTAAAACGCAGACACGTCCAGGGCGAACATTACGTGACTTTTCATTTTTTAGAATTAATTTACAAAGGTGGGTTACAAGTTTTGAGACTTCGTGCAATAGATCCAACGGAGTCTGAATAACAATTCTACTCGCATGTGGCTCCATCATTTGGCAACACTTTAGTGCTGTTCAAAATACTCTTCGCCGATTACAATGCCTTTTTTTTTCGTGCGATAAATCCAACGATCAAAACTGTGCCGATAATCGAGGTCTGTCAGTTTGATTGAGATGCTCTACGATGGCAGAAGTGAGACTGTCCCTGTTCTCAAAATCAATCGCTTTCAGAACGTTCTTCACTATCGGGAACACCTGGAAGTCACAGTATGGTGCCTAATCAACTAACAGAACTCAATTTTTGGCATTGTTTTGATTGCTTCAATTATCTCATGAAAAAATGCATTGAAATTGGCTGTGAGTACGTTGAACAGCACTGAAGTGTTGCCAAATGATGGGGCTATGCAAGTAAAACAGAAATTTCGGAATTGTTGAAATTTCGTGGCGCCTATTCCAAAAAGTCTCAAACCTTATGAACCAACACTCGTATTTGAAAATAAAATAAGATGGACCATGAAACATGTACTATATCTACGATTTCAAGGAGTGATATCTCCAAAACCGCTGTGAGAACCACTTTTAACAAATTTTGAAATTAGAGATCATCGATCAGATTCCAAAAGAGGAAGGTCACGACGACTTTCAGAGGGAATCCCCATCTTGAACAAATATTGCCGAAAGCTTCAAAAATTTCGAAATTCCACGCTTCGAACTTTTGAAATTTTGGTCGTTCAAATTTTGCTCAAAATGCATGCGTGAAATGAGGAGCAAGGATTTCAACAGTGAATCTTTTGCCTTCCGACCACACTTTCGGATTTATTTTTCAGTCTCAAAACGTTACAGAAAATGAGACCCCGCGGCTCATCTTCTGCAGAAAATATTTTAAAAGGAAGACTGACAGAATATATATATATAAATATTTTGCTGTACTGTACTTCTGATCTAGACAGAAATATTGCTTCATTGCTGTACATTGTATACTCGTGAGTCCTGATCAAGGAATACATGCGCAGTGCTTGTGTTTAAGCAGCACTTGTCCCTGTTCAGCAAGTGGACTTTTATTGGAAGATAACCCGGATAGCACTTCTTTTTGGTACTTTAGAAGCCTCTCACATCTTTTATATAGTGTAAATTGATATCTGAATGATTTCTCAAAGTACTATAGTAACTCCATCTCACTTTGCACTATTTTAGCGATAATCTGTATACAGTAACTTCAGAATCAACGGAGCCAATACCAGTCTTTTGGGTGCTTAGTCAACAAGCACCTGTCGACCTAATTCGCATCGAATAACCTTCAGACAGATAATTGAACTGAAGCTTTCCTCGTTTCAACGTAATTTAATTTATGGCTCGTTGAGCCAATATCTACTAATTGAATCGTCAGGTTTCCTCTTCTTTCGGTACGTCGACGGAATTCAAAGCGTACTTAATCGGTATTCTGAGCTCCAATCCTCCAAAGAAATCATAGGAATATAAAAAAGTCTTTCCCACTTTCTATTTTCCATATTTGAAAAATCACACATTTTTCTGGAAAATGTCTTTTGGCAGAGAAAAGGTGTATAATTTCTGCTGTTTGCCGATTCAGCTATTCCCTTGAGGAGATCATCATCAGAAACCACATCACCTGCCTCCTCCAATTTCTAAAATTTAGGGATTTCTTCAAAATTTATGCACGTTTTGACATGCATTTAACTGTTACTTATGAGAGATATAGCGCGGTATGACTTACATTTGAAAAATGCAGGCAGCTTCGTGCCACTTATTTTCATTTGAAGTTCAGTATATTGCATAAGACACGCAGCAAACAAACAGCCAGAAAGTGCTTTAATAAGTCTACGAGCTCATGAAATCTCGCCTTCAATTTATAGGAAGTTCATCAGACTGACGATATATTTGCTCGGATATGAATTAAAAAAAAATCCGTTCACTAAATGCTAAAATTCTAGATGGAAAAGTTTGACGCGCATTCACTTCAATATTCAGTCTATCTTGAGAGGAATAAGACAAGTAAAATGAAAATCAAAAGTATAGGTGTACATGCCTTTTTCGCCTTTGAATAAATCAAAGTCAAGTAACGGTTAATCGGTTGCCCATGCAAAAAAACCTGAGTTACCCGAAAAACCTGAGATTTTCAGTTGAATCATTCGAGTTCAAAGTGAGAGAGAGAGAGGGAGAGCAGTGAGTGTAATGAAAATGCTTGGCATTGAAAAAGGAAAATGTAAAAGTTATCTGAGAGACCCCGAATGTGAATCCGCCGGCGTATGAATCTCAGTACCGTCGTTGATCCCTTTGATGAACTCGACATTATTTCGACGCCGACGACGAGCGTCAAGGAATAAACGCCAGAAACGACGAGATAAGACGCTCGTCGTCATCTCGGCTCATATAATCGACTCTTTGCGTGGCGTCTCTTATTCTGTTGGGGCGGCTCAATGAGCAAGAAATGCTCTCTCTCTCTCTCTCCCCCGGGGGAAGGTTAGAGATTTCATCCTCATCATGCACGCGCTTTTCACTCGCCTCTGAATGTAACCCTATCAATTATTTCTCACGATGATGGCGTCTTCCTTTTTTTTTTTCCTCGCATCGACCTCATCGTCCTAGATGATCCCCCCTCGGCTCGCGGGATCTCGACGGTGGCGGCCAAGAAAGGCGTCGCGTCGTGTCGGGGGTTATCAGCCCCATCAGCTGCATGCCATCGATCCCCGACCCCGATCGCTTTCAAACCGCGTGCCGGCGTCAAACTTCGTCGCTCCGGGGGATCTTTTGCATGACCCGTGTAACCTAACCTTCCTCGTCGCCGTGCGAGAGACCTTCAAGGGTTCCTTCCGCTTTTCCTCTTCGCGGGATTTCTGCGGGGGAGGAGGAGAGGAAAAGAAAGGGCGTTTCCTAAAATTTGGAATAATATTTAATATACTAATATTAAAAAATGTAATATACCTATTGTAAGGTGGAACTTATGAACTATACGAGTATAGTATCTGATGCTGCATGCGGATGAACATGTTCATAATAAGTTAGAAATCAAGGGTGGATCATTTTTCCCGTTTTTCGCTTATAGACTCTGGTTCAGGTTCATTTTTTTATTTTATTTCAACTGGAACGAACTCAGCTCTATCATCCATGAAAGACTTCGGATAAAATATGAGCTTTGTTGCATAAAATCTCAGAAAATTGATGATGGCGCCAAAAAATGTAGGTCATTGAAATTATCTGTATACTGTATCACCGTCAGAATTATTCTACCGCAAAAGATACGATGAAGATTCATTTTACGATTCCTGTGAAATGGGGGCACCGTCTTAGATTCATCTCGGGCTTCCATTTCCTTTTTTTTTCTACACGCAGACAAAAGGGAATTTAAAATAACAATTTATAGATTTCACTATGACCAGGGGTCGTGGTGAGCATGGGCTTGCCAAGAGGTCAAACGCTTTTGTTCTTGACAAAGAATGGTTGATGATGGGGACCAAACTGCTTTCTTCCTGGGACATGAAAGTGAGTTCACTCTCAGAGCTCAAAAATAAAATTTTCTGGATTTATTTTACGTGTATTGAACGCATTTTAGCGCCGATTTTTTCTCTTCTTTTTAGAGAACAATGGGGAAATTGATCTTTCGTTTCGCAGAAAAAGGGGAAAGGTCGAGGGGTGTTCGAATGATGAGCTGCTATACAGAACTAATTTTACGTCGCGAGAGTTTTCATTTCCTTTTCACGAGCAAAAATGCTGTCGTCCTTGATCGTATATTTTCCTCATACAGTAATTGCTTGCAATATCTTTTAATTACCTAATGGGTATAATTATCTTCAGTTATTCCTTCGCAATCCAGCTTCTTTCTTTTTTTTTGTGTTTTTGAAAAATATGGCAACGAGATTCCGCGTGTTCAACCTCACTTATAAACGGAGAACATTTTTCATGGTCTCAACGACGGCGGACTTCCCTGCGGAAATCACTGCAGTTTGGCTGCACAGTATCCGGGTGAGATTTCTCAAGCTGCTGGATCATCAGCCAACTCTGCTCGAGCTCTTTATCCGTATAGTTGGAAAAACCTTCTCCAGCGATCCCTTGCAAACGTCCTTGCATAAAAGAGGAAGAGAAGTTTTAGCAAAGAATATATTATGCCGTACTGAGACAGACGAGGATGACCTCTAAGAGAAGGAACATTGCACTTGAACCGCATTCCCGGAACGAAACACCATGCTGTTCTTCGACATGCCTCTCTGTTTTTCTGCATCGCAGCACACGATGATTATTTTTTTTTTGGCAGCGAGGCAGTTTTTCGGAAATAATGAAAATATAATTGTGTCACATTTGAAGCTGTTCCAGAGCATCTGATTCGTACAGATTCCCCTGAAGTCGTACTTTTCTCAAACCCTTAGAATCAATGCTGCTGTGTCAATCGCTTGTTCACATTTTTTTCAAATCACTTCAAGCTTATTCCTGAAAAGCATGGGTTTAAGCCCGAATAATTGCTTTACCCGCAAAAACTTGAAAATTCTTTCACATTTTAGAACGATTACGAAATAGGAAGGGAGAACGCATATAAAATGAATCACTGAATGAATATACAGTATTTCAAGGCTTACAAATAATTTCGACACTGATGTTCCCAATAGGTTTTTTATTGACGATCTACACATGAAATGATTCCAAAATTGATTCGATTTTAATAAAAATTAAATTTTTTAAAAATCTAGAATTCAAACTCGTGGGAAATATTCTTCACACGACCCCTTCATTGTGAAGAATCACTACATTACTCTCTTTTTATTTCTTCCTCTATTTTCCATCTATTTTTTGCATAAAACGTTTGTTTGGATTTATTGTGTAAAAATTCCTGTCATTCGCTTGTGTGGTGATCCTTGTGAATTGAGTAATTTGTTTAGCATCCAATGGCACGATAAATCATTCCTGAGAAAACCAGGAAACAAGGTGTCCCACGTGAATGTATTTTTTTTTTTAGCTGCAAACCGACTCAATAATGCCCAACAGCGGAAGATACTTTATGTGTGTCATCACCATTTGAGATCCCCAGAAGCAGCAGCACATTTTCAGATTATCTTTTGTTGGGTTCCATTAATGCTTAGCCACACGAGGTAATTCCTCTGTGTCACTATTTCCGATCTCCAGAAGCAACAGCACATTTTCAGACCCTTTTCCATAGATTGATGCCCCAGTCCACCAAAAAATATAACCCCCTCTCCCTTCTTTGCTATATATGGGGATCAGCTTCAAGGTTGGCTGATTCATACATATGGGTACACATCTCGACGATTGCAACTCAAAAGGACAGACAACTCCTAAGAAGGGGGGTGGGGATGATGGCCCTTAGAATTCGAAACACTTGATTAAAACTCAAAGGGGATCCGAACTCCGCACGAGGGATCCGATGAAAGGCCGACAAAGAAGAGAGAGAGAGCCGTCGTTTGTTGATGACTGGCGGATGAGGCATAATATTGTCACGGGGTTTCCAGCTCTCGGTGTCGGCGCATTAGGCGCCCCCGGGCCAGCGGTCACGTTCCCGGGCTGCTCATCAACGTCGAGCCTGGCCGAAGATATGGTTTTTCCGAGTGACGGGGTTCAGTCGTCGTCGTCGGCGAGGGGGAGGGGGGTTGCTTTGATTATTGCGGATCCCGGGGTACGGGTCTCGGGGTTGTTGGTGCGTAACGGGGACGACGACTGTCGGCTGAAAAAGGGGGGGGGGGTGGCACCGAATGCAAATTCATATGCCTGAGGGAATCGCTTTTCATAGCCGCGAAGCTTCCTTCCTTCCTTCCGTCCTCTGCCCCAAACGACCGCCTCATGCTCGATTCACACTCGTTGCTCTGAAATCTTTATTTTTTCGTTTTGCTCTTTGGTTATTCGTACTGTATTAAAACTGCATGTGATTTTCCGATCGGGGTCAGGATAAAATGCCGGCGGGGAGAAATTACGCGAGAACAAATACGCGAAGAGACGATGTGAGGAACTGAGGATAAACATATTAATCTATGAGTAAAATGTAAAGAATACCATATCAACTTCAGGAAACTTACTGTATGACTGCAATAATCGAGAAAAAAAAACCGAATGGGATGCAAGCAATAAAAAAATCAGCAGCCGAAATGCTGAAATTTTCTTGAAATGAAATTTTAAATATACAAATCCTCATCAGATTTATAGTAAGTTTTATTTTCATAATGATCGTTCCATCACCGTTTTTCGTCACAAGCAAGAATTTGTATCTATTCCTGGATTTAGTTTCGCTGCGTCGAATTTTCTGGTGGACCTTTTCTCCACAGACATTTTTCCGTCGTCAGGATTTTTTTTGTGGCTCAAGTGTGGACCGCGATCACTTGGCCTTGAACAAAGCCGAAATATATCAATTTTTATTGCTAGCTAACTCGACGCATCAGCTGGCTTAACTGACAACACAAATAGATCTGATGAAATTTACATACACACCAGTTTGCCATGTTTTTCCGCCTTATATAGATTATTGTCAGACTGGTACTTTGAGACGAAACGAACGAAAAACTCTGAGGTACGATTGGAATGCTGAGATAATGATAGAAAGAGTGAAAGCAGAAAAAGTGTATTTCAACCTTCAGAATATTGACGCATGGGCTATGAAGCATGACTAATTTTTAGTTTATAGTAAATGGTAATTCATAGAAATCACAGTAAATGCAACTAATGCCAACCTAACTTGAATGACTTATTAACTGAGCTGGCTTGATGTAAAATTCATTTCAACTTGATATGTGAAATGCATAACTGGACTAAACCTATTTTCAACAAGAATTCATGCTAACAGACTCATGCTGCGTAATTTGAATGTGAATTGACAGATGTATATATCGATGCAAATGCTCGTGTTCAAACTAGTTTTTCAAGAAAGTGCAAGAACAGCGTCAAGTTTTTTTTAGTGGATGGGAATCTAAGATCAGTGTATTAATCATACTTTCCAGTACTGTATACTGGTATAGTATACAGTATTCTGCTTGTTAATATCAATACATCTATTGGAAAAGGGTCATCCGACGAAGTATTCGGTGATTTTAGCTGATGTGATGGATATTGATGAATACTTTTGCACTTCGTGAACAAAAATAAAACTTGCGGTGTGAGAAATAAGAAGTTGGATTTGATAGTTCGATAGTTTGTTTGGTCGTGTTAATTGTGAGATGCTGGCCTTCTCCGATCGAGTCTTCAATTATTCGAAAATTTAGTCATTCATTTTTTTTCCGAACCGGATGGGAAGTTGAAAGTCGAAACGGAAGGGGTTCCCCGCCACGTACCCCGGGGGGCAGGCAGAATTGGCGATTCCCCCGGCTGGTCGGTGCCTGCCTCTCGTCATCGTCGTCGACGGCGTTTGCTCCAGCACAATGCTCGTCAGTCGACGACAACGTCGTTTCCCAACCCGGATAATTATTCAGGCGTGGCGACGATGGATTTCCCTCCTTCTCGCGCCTCTTATACATATCTATGCTATAGTTTCTGTCGCATGCTTTCTTGCTTCAGAGCACCGCGGCTGCGATTTTCGGCGATGGGCCTCCGGGGCCGGGTAATCCCGGTTCCCTCTTCGGATATCCCCTTTGCATGCCCCGATTCCTAGTCCTGGTCATTTTCAAGTGCAGAATACGGCAGATACAGTAGTGTGAGAGTGCATACCGTCTGAAAATAAAATGAGAAAAATCAAGACATGCCAAAACTCGATGGCTTTTTGTTGGCTGCAAAATGCAACTTGCGAATTATCAAAATCTCATTGTCTTGTAACTCAATACTCAAAGGATAAATCGACAAGGATAATGATGAGTGAATAATTTGCAGACAAGACACAGGAGCAATCAAATCAATTCAATATCTCTTTTTGTATTAATTTTCTCAGCTCATATCTGCTATATAACCGTCTCAATATTTTTCCATTTCTAAATCAACCTTGTACAACCAGGTTCTAAGAATGACATGGGGGTGGCTAACGAAACTAATTGCAGGAATCCACAAATTTTTACATTCTTTCTTTATTCATCGAACAGATCTTTATTCATCGCACCAGCACAAGTTGAAGCTAGTCTATTGTCTTTCTCCGAAGTGAGGCTTTATTGAATCAGTATTTCCCAGTTCAAAAATTAAATTTTCCCAAGGAGAATGCATTTTCCTCCGAAAATTTTTCTGAATTTTCGGAAATTTCTGTCATTTTATTACAAATCAAAAATTCTCGCAGAAAATTCAGGTGAAACCTATTTGCGCGTGTTAGGCTTATAAAAACGATGTACAGTATCTAAAAATTGTGTTTTTTATTGAAGCATATTACGATTGTCTACTTTGCTCTGCATTATCCAAAGAATTCCAAAACTGCGTCTAAAATTGATATGAAACCCACCTGGAAAGCGAGAAAAACTCCATGGAGAACAAATTAGAAGAAAATAGATACTTTTTCCTGCTTTGAAAATAAATTTGAACGCTACTTTCGACACATGACATTTCATTTTTATTTCATGAAGAATTCTTCGGCATCTGCGGTGTTATTCGGGACTGGTGTTGATTATCCAAAGTGAAAAGGATGTAATAATCATGTTTCTCAAGGACTTTTCTTTAGGTCAGGGCCGTTAAGCGAGGCAAATACGAGCAAAAGCTTGAGTCTGTAATGCTAAAGCAAAAAAAAAAAAAAGACCAAGCATCGCAGCCATTGTTTGGAGCATACCTCGACGTATGCTTTGCGAATGCGATGAAGTTTTTCATTGCAAATTTTCTATTGGTCTTGGAAAGCATTCTTTCCACTACTGAACATACTATACACTGAACAGTATTTTTGCGCTTTGAGTCTGTCTGGCTTGCTCATTTATTTATTCAAAATTGAAAGCATTGATGGCACACAAAAACGCCTGCAAATGCCAGTAAAAATCGGTCAGGGATATACTTGAGGAGAAACCGAATGAACAGGTTTCTTCTACAGTATTTGAGTCGGATGCACGTGATAAAATGGGTCGAAAGGCTAGCACGCATGCTAAACCATCACATTTCCAGGATTTCGATTACAGATGCTGCTCCTGAATATATCCCATTATTGAATGATTTTTTGGCATGGTTTTCGCAAGCTTCCCTTCTGAAAGCAAATATTTTCAAAGTCGGCGGCTCCAAAAATCTTCTGTTTATTCTCCCGCCATACAATTTTTCGCGGCTAGCAAACACTTGAACCAACCAAGGAAACATCATCCCTATTCGTTCAGTGATGAAAACCCAGCAAGTCTTGAAAAACACAAACGCTTCGAATAACGACATCCTTAAAAATAATCTACTAATACTGGAAGGCGAAACTGGACATTTCAATTTCCTTTCTTTTTTTTTTAATCTCCCTCGTTCAGATAGCGCCGGGTCCGTCGTTGGACCGACAGTCCTGGATTCAATCCTGTTGTTGACACTCTCCCTGGGTCTGTGTGTGGCCAGCATGTGTCATCCCTTCGACATGACCGACATCACCTTCGCCGCAATCGTCAGAAGCAGAGAAACTCACGGCGACCGACGAGCCAACGAATCTTCCTCCATCACGTCGAAATCGTCACGACCGACAGCGAGCAGTGATGACGCCGAGTGCAGAGCCCACGGCGTCGACACTTCCACGACTTCCGGCGATCGTTTACCTGAGCCAGGTGGTCTCCATTTTGGATAAACGAGTGAAAAAAAACGTGGAAAAAATGCAGAACTCATAAAACACCAAGGGAAAGAAATAATTGATTATTCCGGACCGACGAGGAACAGTGTGGGGACAACAGAAAATAAAAAAAGAGTTACCGCTTCCCCGATCGAGACGGAAGCGAGGATGAACCGACGGCGAATATGTGGGTGGGAAAATGCGAAGCGGAAACTGCTATTTGGCGTGACGTGACTTGACGTGACGTGACGAGCGTCGACGACGACGATGAGGAGCGGGAAAAGGAGGAGATGAGTGAGAAAAACGTGTACTGACGAGACGGGCGTGCAAACAAGTTTTATTTCATCTCCCCGCGTTGTGTAAGGGGTACCTTGTTAATTCGCGGCGGCTTCCAAAACGGCAGAAACTGTCGGAAATCGTTCCCCATTGTTTGACCCCTCCATGGTAAAAAAAAAAAACTTGCTGACATTTCCATCTCGAACCCCAAGAAAGCGTCTCTCTATCTCGCTCTTCGGATTCCTTGCGTACAGTGGAACCTCTGTTCTCCAGGTTGTCTACTTTTGAACGATAAAAAAGTCTTGGCAGATCTAAAATAAAATGTTCCAACATTATTGCTCGTGAACCTGCACTGTGACCTTGCCCCAAATATTCTCCGTTTGAGCAGCGCCGAAGTTTATCCCTACATTTTCCGGAAGGAATCCTTCTTTCAAATCAGCTTCAATTTGGAATCCTGAAAACGTTCAATTTAAAACAGGCAGTTTTGAAACATACGCTTGAAAAAATGACAGAGACTGCCATGTCCGAGGTTTTGATGAGTATATTATCGTATCTTTGAAGATATTAATTCTCCACGCTTGGCTTTTTCAACAGGAAGTCCACGATTTCAGCCCAAACATTCCGTTTTATCAATATTTAGAAAAAATCTTGCAGACAATTGCAGCAAGGAAATTAATATGACAATAACTTGATATTTTCTTGTCCACGAATGTTTTGGAAAACGTTGGAGTCTGCGACTATACCCAGGACATGAACAAACCCTTGCTCACCATCAGTAGACTAACCACAGATGGAATTCTTGGAAAATTCTCACACTCACTTTCAGAAGCACTAAAAATTCCCAAGAGAAGGCAAATCACTTTAAAACATGTTGCATAGCATTATTTACATGACTTTGTACTTGTCTTCTCTCAATTCCAACCTGGACAAACAAAAATCGACAGACATGTAGTATTAATTTTTTAAAATATATTATCTTCCATTTATGTTTCCCTCGGATAATTTCCAATTATGATCAGTAAAATGTTTGCAAAAATTATCAACCTCGTCAAGCCCTCGTACTTCATTCGAACAACAATTTTGGATCTTTCTGATCCATTCATCCCCAGTTTCCATGGCGTTACGCGCTCTTCTATACACACGAACGAAATTTTTATAATTTCAAGAAGTGCAATAAATAGTCGGAAATACAGAAGCACGGATAACAGAGGTTCTGCTGTACTATGATTCAGTCTGGAAACAATTAATATTAATTGAGTTGTTAGACCCCGAAAGCACCACGTCGATCGTCGACGCGGAAGGAAAATCACGGTGAACTTCGATGTGATTGTGTGTTTTTTTGTACGCATTCGGGCATTCCTGCAACCATATTTTCCCGTCTCGTCAATCAAACGCGTGCATCTGCTGCAAATGGGAACTTCAGCAATCGATCGTTTGTAAATTTTTCAAATTCGAATCTCGCTGAAAAAAGAAAACAAATCTTGTGAACATTGTTTCGTTGTTTCGGTGAGGGATGAACTCGAGAGGGTAAGAGAAAAGGAAAATACGGAGAGCTTCTAGAAGCAGGAAGATGACCGTTGTCGATTTGCGTGAAAGTTGTCATGAATCGGAGGGTTGCGAATGAATGAGATCTTTTTTTTTTTTTTTTGGATCGGAAAAAATATATCATGACGTTTTAATGAAACAAAGAAGTGTTCGCTTATTCTTTTACATCTCTGCCGACCTCGTGACCTGGGCTCATCTCGAACTGTGGACCAGTCATCATTCGATGCATCAATCTGCAAACAACAGGTGAACCGGAACTCGAAGCTATTGTGCCATTTCTACGAAATATTTTGAGTGAAAAAATCATAAATTTTCCACAAAAAAAGGAACTTTGAAGGAAGTGATGATGACTTGCTTTTTTTCGGCTACAATCTCGTTCCTGCAAGGCGGTATGTTTGCGACCATAAGGTGGAGAGGGCTCGGGAATTTGAATTTCAAATTTTCATGGATGTTCTCAGCTAGTTTCACAGTACTAGGGAATGTTCGAGTGTCATTATTCACCTGACACTCGGGTCGTGAGGCAAATATGGATATTATTAATAGCAAAGAATGAAAGTTTCCCATGAATTTGTAAAAAAAAAAATCGAAACCGTGAGATTATGAATCCCTATATTCTCATCCGTGAAATTCAAATTGAATACTGTACTTCGCTTGTTCCGTTGTAAACCCTGTTAGTTTTTTGTCAATCTTCATTAAAATTAGATCATGAGCTCAATTTAGAAGACAGTCGTTGTTAGCGTTTAAAATCCTGCAGAAACTCAATGACTTGTTCTGGTCATTATTCTTTGAATTTATTCGTTCATCGTATGCTTTAAATACCGGAAATGATTAGCAAAATTTTAGCGGAACGAGGCACTTACTTTCAACGATTTCGGAGGAGGGAACATTTTTATATTCATTGTGCTTCTACCGGAAATTTCACGGACTCAGTAGAGTCAAAATTAATTTTTCAGAGAGGAATTATTATTCTTCGAGATACGCTGATGAAATGTCGTTAACCAATTCAAGTGCGATGCAGCATGCTCCACTACAGCACGAAGGGACATTGAAAAGCAAAAAAAAAAAAAAAAGGATTAGTAAATCGATTCTAAAAAGAGTAAGCTTTTGATGTTTTATCTTTCTTTCTTTGCAGATATTTAAATTTTGAAAGGTAAAATTTGTGCCGAGCAACTTTCCTTCGACGCGGGATCATTCTGATTCAATAGATGTATCGTCAGACATTCAAATTAATGCTTCCGATAAAAATAAAAAAAATTAAATGAACTTCGATCCTCATTTGTTTAGAATTAGATTGATCAACATGATTAATAGACTGCGAATATATGAATAAATCATGTTAAACTTGAAGGATCTGCACAAATCTTGATATCTTGAAAAGCTCCAACGAACCATTGTTCTTACACAATTCTTATAGCGCACTCAACAAATCTCCCGATGGTTCAGGTATGAATTGAAAAATCCATTGCTCTAAATAATTTGCTACTATTCGTTTATCTTAATTTGACTCTCCTGATAGACTCTGACGATGAATGACCCAAAATTGAGAACATTAGAGTGATTTGCCATCAATAAACCTATGCCATTATTCAGTTCCACATGAACTATCAAGGCTGACGTCAATTGACCTCGTGCACTTTCGCCGTAATTTAGAACAAATTCATCATATTTATCTTCCCATTCTTGCATTTGGTTTTTATCTATATCACGCACATCTTTTTAGAGAAAATTGTACGGGTTTGAATATGCGTTCAACAGAAGTAAAGATATTATTTCGGCAGACGCCCTAGCTGAACTTGCTGAGTCCACATGAGAACATGTTCATCCTCACGTTATCACCTGAGTTACAGCATCAATTTCATAATGTATCAAGGACTTGATTACCCGGAAGAAAAAGAAGCGTCATGTGTCGTACGTTATTCCTTGGAATGAAGAGGATATATTGGACCTGTTCAGGAAATCCATCATATCTGTAATCTTCAAAAACCTTCTCCCAATTCACTGTGTCCTTATATATAGTCTTAACTGTACAGTACTGCTTTTGGCAATTGAACTGTAAGGTTTTACCAGTAAGAATTAGATTAATCAAGCCTTACACCTTGATTGCGGGTTTTAGCAGAGTTTCCGGGATTTAGATTTTTCAAGATAGAGAAAAAATAAATCAGAACACAGCAATTGGCCGGGCGCGAACCGACCGGGATTTCTCCCTACTAGCGCAGACCTTTCTTTGATACACACACACACACACACTTCTTGTTAAATTATACACACGGTTTGTACAAAATACAAGGTATACACACTCAGATGTACAAGATTTGCAACAATGAACAATATTCGGCCTCGTAGGATTTCAAGTAGTCCAGAAGTGGACTTGATTTCCTTTACAATTAGAATTTCGTAACTGGGTCAAGTCTCAATTTTGACAAGGTATTCACACACGGCGTTGGGAATATAAATTAAGAAAACGAGTCCCGTTCTTAACAAACAAAAGGGGTTGAAGAACCGAAAGAAAAAGCAAAGTACCGACGCCTTTTAGATTTCGCGATGTTTCGAAATCGCCCTGGTAGTATAGAATTTTTCTAAGTTCCGAATTCCGAATTTTTAGAACACAACTTCAGCAGTTCGACCTTCTAAACCTGACTGACTGTGTTGCCCAATTTTCTGGGGTTTATATATGATTTTGCGCCGATTTTGGCGGGTTTT